GCAGAGTGCTTGCCTAGCATGCATGAAGCCCTAGGTTCGATTCCTCAGTACCATATAAACAGAAAAAGCCAGATGTGGTGCTGTGGCTCAAGTGGTAGAGTGCTAGTCTTGAGCAAAAGAAATGAGTTCAGGGCTGGGAAGGTGGCTCAGTGGTAGAGCGCTTGCCTTGCATGCCTGAGGCCCTGGGTTCGATTCCTCAGCACCACATAAGCAAAAAGAAAAAAACCGGAAGTGGCGCTGTGGCTCAAGTGGTAGAGCACTAACCTTGAGCTGAAGAGCTGAGGGACAGCTCCCAAGCCCAGAGTTCAAACCCCACGACCGGACCCCCCCCCCCAAAAAAAAGAAGAAATGAGTTCAAACTCCAGGACTGGCAAATAAAAAAAATAGATATGAGATATGCAAAGTAATCAAATGCATAAAAACAAAATAAAATGGTGGTTACCAGAGGCTGCTGAGGAGAAAAGGGCTGTGGTTCAATTAATAGCTTGAACTTTGCAAAATGATAAAGTTCTAGAAATGTGATTATTATTGGCATGGCTGAGTTGTGTACTTTATTATATTGTTGTTATTGTTATTGTTGTTATTATTTGTCAGTCATGGAGCTTGAACTCTCGGCCTGGGCATTGTCCCTGACCCCTTCAGCTCAAGGAGAGTGCTCTACCACTTGAGCCAGAGCTTCACTTCCGGTTTTCTGGTAGTTAATTGGAGATCAGAGTTTCACAGACTTTCTCCTGCTTGGTTGGCTTTGACCCATGATCCTCATATCTCAGCCTCCTGAGTACCTAGGATTACAGGCATGAGCCACTGGCACCCAGCTTGAATTATGTACTTTAAAATCGTAACTTTTGTGCATTTTTACCACAATAAAAATATACAAAAAGGAAGGACAAGGTAAATGAAACAAAAATATCAACATTGATAATATTTGAAACTGGATAATGTTGTCTTGGAGGTTTAAGTTACAGTCTATGTATGATTGTTTTTCCCATAATGAAACCCACTCCTGTGAGCTACTCAAGAGGTTGAACTTTAAGGATTGAGATTTGAAGTTAGCCTAGTCAAGAAAGTCCATGAGACATATCTCCAATTAACCACTGAAATGCCAGAAGTAGAGATGTGGTTCAAGTGGTAGAGCACCAGCCTTGAGTAAAGAGCTAAGAGTTAGGGTTCAAGCCCTGAGTTGAAGCCCCAGTGCTGGAACAAAAACAGTTAAAAAACAAAAACAAAGCCAGGTGCTTGTGGCTCACATCTGTAATCCTAGCTACTCAAGAGGCTGAGATCTGAGGATCATGGTTCAAAGCCAGCCCAGGTAAGAAAGTCTGTGAGACTCTTATCTCCAGTTAACCACCAGAAAACTGGAAGTGAAGCTCTGGCTCAAGTAGTAGAGTACTCAACTTGGGCTGAAGAGCTGAGGGACAGTGCCCAGGCCCAGAGTTCAAGCCCCCTGGCTGACAACCCCCCCCAAAAAAAATCAAATAAAATGTTAAATAGAACATTATAGAAGTAAATATTCTGGGAAGTCTGATGAAATTTTATGCCATCCTGCCTCAAATTCAGTATGGATCCAGGATTCAGTGGAGATCCCTTCCTCCTGTGCCTATATATGCTGCACACACTGTCACCTAGTGGCTGTCTTGATGGTTAAACTCAGTAGTATTACAGTTTGTGATTAGGTAACTTTTATTTTACAATAATGGCCCCCCTTGCACAAAGGTAGTGATACTGGTGCTTCAGATATATTGAAGGGAATCAGTAACATGCTTTGTTATGTCAACTCAGTAAGGAAAGAAAAAGCCTCATGCTGAGCTTGCTAAAATCTCATGGGGGAAATGAATGTTATGCATGAAGATTTCTTCTATGGTATATAAAAGCAGGGGAGAAAGAGTGATAAGAAGATGCATCTGATCAGGGGATATTGTATGCATATATGGACAGATTAAAATGAAACTCCTTTGTACAACTAGTTCATGTTAATACAAATGTGGATTAGAAAAAGAGATTGTGATGGGGGCTGGGAAGGTGGCTCAGTGGTAGAGTGCTTGCCTTGCATGCCTGAGGCCCTAGGTTTGATTCCTCAGCACCACATAAGAAAAAAGAAGAAATGCTGGAAGTGGCGCTGTGGCTCAAGTGGTAGAGTACTAGCCTTGAGCTGAAGAGCTGAGGGACAGCACCCAGGCCCAGAGTTCAGGCCACACAACTGGACCCCCTCCCCCCCAAAAAAAGAAAGAAAAAGAAAAAGAGATTGTGAGATAAGCACTGGTGGCTCACACCAATAATCCTTCGTACTGAGGAGGCTGAGATTTGAGGATCACAGTTTGAGGCCAGCCTCAACAAACAAATCCCAGAGTCTTAATTAACCTACAAAAAACTGGAAGTGAAAGTGTTTGTCAAACAATAGAACGCCAGCCTTGAGAAAATAAAGCTAAGGGGGAGTGTGAGGCCTTGAATTCAAGCTCTTGCACTAGCACAAAAACAAGGAAAAAAAAACTGTGTTGAAGGAAAAATTAGTTTCAGTGGTTTTGCCATTGCATCTTCATTGTCCTAAGTTACCATCACAATGAGTGGTAAGTTCTTAGTTAAGATGGGAAAGGCAAGCCAGAGTTCCAGTGGCTCATGCCTATAGTTCTAGCTACTCAGGATGATGAGATTTTAGAATTGTTGTGTGAGGCCAGCCTGAGCAGGAAAGTCCAGGAGACTTTTTTTTTTTTTTTTTTGGGTCCAGTCATGGGGCTTGAACTCTGGGCCTGGGCGCTGTCCCTCAGCTCTTCAGCTCAAGGCTAGCACTCTACCACTCAAGCCACAGCGCCACTTCCGGCTTTTTTCTTTTTGCTTATGTGGTGCTGAGGAATCGAACCCAGGACCTCCGGCTTGCAAGGCAAGCACTCTACCACTGAGCCACCTTCCCAGCCCCAGGAGACTTTTTTTTGGTTGGTCGTGGGGCTTGATTTCTGGGCCTGGACACTGGACACTGTCCCTCAGCTCTTCAGCTCAAGGCTAGTTCTCTACCACTTGAGCCACAGCACCACTTCTGGTTTCCTGGTGGTGGAGATATGAGTCTCACAGCCTTTCCTGCCTGGGCTGGCTTTGAACTGTGGTCCTCAGATCTCAGCCTCCTGAATAGCTAGGATTTTAGGTGTGAGCCACCAACGCCTGGCTCCATGAGACTTTTATCTCCAGTTAGCTAACAAAAAGCTAGAAGTGGAGCTGTGGCTCAAGTGGTATATTGCCAGCCTTAAGTAAGAAACCAAAGAGACTGTACCCAGGTTGTGAGTTCAGCCCAGTACAATATTTTAAAAAGGCATAAGTTTGTTTGTGTTTGTGTGTGTAGGAAAGTAGCATAGTCTATATAGTTTGGCATTTCAAGTATTAACTGGAGGTCTTGAACATATTCCAACAAATGAGGAAGAACTATTGTAATAATAGCTTATGAAGTTATTGCAAGGTTAGTGGGCATGCAGTGGGTTTTGAACAGTGCCTGATAACTTAATTGATAAGTAATATTACTTTGCTACTTGAGATGTAGATAGTTTACAATATACTCAAACATTTTGTACTGACTTCCCTACAATCAACTGGAGAGATGGTAGTGCCTCTCTTTTCCTAAAGCGGCTGTTTATTTTTTGTGCTGACTATGGGACTTGGAGTCAAGGCCTGGGTACTATGCTTAGCCTTTATTTTTTATTTTTATTTTTCGTCTGTCGTGGGGCTTGAACTCTAGGCCTGGGCACTGTCCCTCAGCTCCTCAGCTTAATGCTAGTACTCTACCACTTGAGCCACAGCGCCACTTCTGGCCTTTTCTGTTTATGTAGTGCTGAGGAATTGAACCCAGGGCCTCATGCATGCAAGGCAAGCGCTCTACCACTGAGCCACCTTCCCAGCCCCTGTCCTTAGCTTTTTTTTTTTTTTTTTTTTTTTTTTGTCGGTCATGGGGCTTGAACTCTGGGCCTGGGCGCTGTCCCTCAGCTCTTCAGCTCAAGGCGAGCGCTCTACCACTTGAGCTACAGCGCCACTTCCGGTTTTCTGGTGGTTTATTGGAGATAAGAGTCTCAAGGTCTCTCCTGCCCGGGCTGGCTTTGAACCGCGATCCTCAGATCTCAGCCTCCTGAGTAGCTAGGATTACAGGTGTGAGCCACCAGCGCCCGGCTGTCCTTAGCTTTTTTGTTCAAGGCTGGCAACTCTATCCCTTGGGCCACAACTGCACTTCCATATTTTTGGTAGTTAATAGGAGGTAAGAGTCCCTTGGATCCATCCTGTCTTGGATGGCTTTGAGCTTCACATCTCAGCCTCTTTAGTAGCTAGGATTACAAGCATAAACTATCAAAACCAAGGCTGTTTGGTTCTTTTTTTTTTTTTTTTGCCAATCATGGGGCCTGAACTCTGGGCCTGGGCACTATCCCTCAGCTCTTCAGTTCAATGCTCTACCACTTGAGCCACAGCACCACTTCTGGCTTTTTCTGCATATGTGGTGCTGAGGGCCTCAGGTGTGCAAGGCAAGCACTCTACCACTGAGCCACCTTCCCAGCCCTGTTTGGTTCTTTTTAAGAGTGTTTTCTTAAGCTACATATAATCACGTGCATGCATGTGTACGTGTGTGTGTGTGTGTGTGTGTGTGTATGTGTGTGTGTGTGTGTGTGTGTGTGTGTGTGTGTGTGTGTGTGAGAGAGAGTTGGGTCTTGAACTCAGGGCCTGGGCACTGTCCCTGAGTTTTTGTGCTTAAGACTAGTGCTCTACCAGTTAAGCCACAGCTCCATTTCTGGCTTTTTGCTAGTTAAATGGAGATAAGAGTCTTTTGGACTTTCCTACCTGGGCTGTCTTTGAACCACTGTCCTCAGATCTCAGCCTCCTGAGTAACTAGGAATATAGGTGTGAGCCACCAGTGCCTGGTTAGCTTCATGTAATCTTAAATTTCACCAAATTTTACATTGAGTTACTAAGCTTTCTGATTTCTGACAAAGCCAATCAGTTTCTGTAACCTGATACATTCTTTTTTTCTTTCCTAGGTCTTTCAGAGCCTTGAAGACCACCATTTGGAAGTGGTGGCTTTTTTTCGGGACAATGGCTTTCATGGCCTTCTTGCTCATGACTCCGAGTATGCTCTCTACAATATTCCCTTTTACTACAGTTCTCATGCTTTGAAGCTGAGCTGGAATGGAAAGAACCTCACTACCAACCAGTTCCTGATGCAAGAGGTAGCCAAGCAGCTGGGTCTGAAGCGGATGAATTTCCCCATTTTTGCAGCACTGCTAGGTAGGTAGTTTTCCCCTGTATTGGTTTTTTTTTTTTTTTTTGGGTCCGGTCGTGGGGCCTGAACTCTGGGCCTGGGCGCTGTCCCTCAGCTCTTCAGCTCAAGGCTAGAGCTCTACCACTTGAGCTACAGCGCCACTTCCGGCTTTTTTCTTTTTGCTTATGTGGTCCTGAGGAATTGAACCCAGGGCCTTATGCATGCAAGGCAAGCGCTCTACCACTGAGCCACCTTCCCAGCCCTTCTCCTGTATTGTTAAGATATGAGAGCTAAAGACAGTTAACTTGTCTTGGATTTATCTTTTTTTTCTTTTTGGTTGGTTGTGAGGCTTGAGCTCAGGGCCTGGGCACTTTTCCCTGAGCTCTTTTTTTTTGGTCGGTCATGGGGCTTGAACTCTGGGCCTGGGCACTGTCCCTCAGCTCTTCAGCTCAAGGCGAGCGCTCTACCACTTGAGCTACAGCGCCACTTCCGGTTTTCTGGTGGTTTATTGGAGATAGGAGTCTCACCGTCTCTCCTGCCCGGGCTGGCTTTGAACTGCAATCCTCAGATCTCAGCCTCCTGAGTAGCTAGGATTACAGGCGTGAGCCACCAGCTCCCGGCTTCCCTGAGCTCTTTTGCTCAAGGTGGTTAGTTGGAGATAAGAGTCTCACAGACTTTCCTATCGGGGGTGGTTTCAAACCATGATCCTTAGATCCCAGCCTCCTGAGTAGCTAGGATGACAGGCGTGAGCCACCAGCAACTGGCTTTAATTTAGCTTTTGAGAGACCTCATGTGAAACATGGTACATCAGGCACTTGGGCTTCTTAATAGAGTGTCCTAAAAATCAGCATATCTTTTTAAATTAAATTTAATTATTTTCCATAACATCATTTCTTTCTCTCTCTTTTTTTTTTTTTTTTGCCAGTCCTGGGGCTTGAACTCAGAGCCTGGTTGCTCTTTTGCTCAAGGCTAGTAGTGTTCTACCACTTTTTTTTTTGTTCTACCACTTTAAACCACAGTTCCACTTCAGTTTTTGAGTGGTTAATTGGAGATAAGAGTCCCATAGGGACTTTTTTTTTTTGCCCAAGCTGGCTTCAAATCATGATCCTTAGATCTCAGCCTCCAGGGTTGCTAGGATTATAGGCGTGAGTCACTGGTGCTAGGCTAGAGGTGTTTTAAGAAAACATTTGTACCAGGAAATGGAAACAAGAGGTTTTTTATTTTTGCTTTTGTTTTTGTTTTCTTCTTGTCTTATTTCTTTATCTGTCTTTGGGAGAGTAAAGAGAGGCACAGAAATGGAGGGACAAAGGTGAACAAATGTAGCAGTGGCACTCACTAGACACCATGTTGAAAATGAACTATATGGCTTGTGGGTGGGTTGGGAGGGAAAAACTGGGAGAGAATGGGACATTGTCCAAAAAGAAATGTTACCAGCTGAGCGCCGATGGCTTATACTTGTAATCCTAGCTACTCAATAGGCTGAGATCTATGGATCTTGGTTTGAAGCCAGCTCGGGAAGGAAAGGCTGAGAGACTCTTATCTCAAATGAACCATGAGAAAACTGGAAGTGACACTGTGGCTTAAAGTGGTAAGAGTGCTAGCCTTGAGCAAAAAAGCTCAGGGACAGTACCCAGGCCCTGAGTTCAGGCCCCACAACCAACCAGCCAACCAATAAATAAATAGTCACAATTTTTTAAAAAAAGAAGAAATGTACTCTACCTGACTTATGTAACTGTGACCCCTTTGTACATCATCTTTATAATAACAGTAACAATTTTTTAAAGAAAATATTTGTGTATTTAATGAATGACAAATGTACTTTATAGGTAACCACATTCTCCCAGATGAGGACTTGGCTGCCTTTCACTGGAGCTTGTTGGGACCAGAACATCCTCTTGCATCACTGAAGGTAATGTGTACCATTTTCTACTTGTACAGATTAAGAGATAACAGGATTTTTGCTTTTGTTTTTGGCCAATCCTGGGCTTGAAATAAGGGCTCCTGAGCTTTCTGGGTCAAGGTTAGTGCTCTCAAAACATGCTTCTAGCTTTTTGGTTGTTAACTGGGAATGAGAATCTCAATCTTTCTTGTGTGAGGTGGCTTTGAACCCTGATCCTCACATCTCAACATCCTGAATAGCTAGCATTATAAGGTTGAGCTACTATATGTGGTGACAACAGTTTTGAATGGAGTTTGGTGGAGTAATTATCTTTCATTCCATTTAAAATATTTAGCATATGACTCCAGGAAATGGAAACAAGGCTTTTTTTTTTCTTTTTTGCTGTTTTTTTTCTCTTCTTTTTGTTCTGTTTGTTCATCTTTGGGAGGAGAGTAAGGGGAGGCACAGAGATGGAGGGACAAAGAATGAACAAATGCAGAAGTGGTACTTACTGGACACTATGTTGAAGTGAACTCTACAAATTGTGGGTGGGGATGGGTGGGAGTGCAAGGAAGGGGTGACATTGTCCAAAAAGAAATGTATTGACTTGTGCAAGCATAACCACTCTATGCATCACTTTTATAATAACTATTTAAAATTTTTAAAAATACATTACATAAAAATTGAGTTATTGAAATACTCTTTATATCTTAGGATTCACACAAACTTTACTAAATGCCACAATAATGGGCTATAAAGGACAAAAGCAGAAAATTTACAAAAGAAGAGGGGCTGGGGAGGTGGCTCAGTGGTAGAGCGCTTGCCTTGAGCTGAAGAGCTGAGGGACAGCGCCCAGGCCCAGAGTTCAGGACCCATGACCGGACCCCAAAAAAAAAAAAAAAAGAAAGAAAGAAAATTTACAAAAGAAGAGATGCAGTGATTGATAGATAATACGACTTAGCTATCAGTCATGTAAGTTCAATGAGCACTTTGTTACTTTTTTTTTTTTTTTTTTTTTTTTGGTCATGGGGCTTGAGCTCTGGGCCTGTGTGCTGTCCCTGCGCTCTTCAGTTCAAGGCTATAGCTCTACCACTTGAGCCACAGCACTACTTCTGGTTTTCTGGTGGTTAATTGGAGACAAGAGTTTCATGGACTTTCCTGCCCAGGTTGGCTTTGAACCATGATCCTCATATCTCAGCCTCCAGAGTAGCTAGGATTACAGGCGTGAGCCACCGGCTCCTGGCCATCTTGTTACTTTTTGTTAACAGTTTAGGAAATATTGAAGTATAGCCTCCTGTACTTCTGGTGGCAGTGTCAGTTGGGGATTACACTAAATTTCTGTTTGTAGCTGAGCACTGAGGGCTCACACCTATAATCCTAGCTACTCAGGAGGCTGAGATTTGAGGATCTCGGTTCAAAGCCAGCTAAGGCAGAAAGTCCTCGAGAGACTGTTATCTCCAACTAGCCACTCAAAAAGTGGAAGTGGTAGCCAGGCGCAGGTGGTGGCTCTCGCCTGTAAGCCTAGTTATTCAGGAGGCTGAGATCTGAGGATCACAGCTAAAAGCCAGCCCGGCAGGAAAGTCCGTGAGACTCTTATCTCCAATAAACCTCCAGCAATCCATAAGTGGTGCTGTGGCTAAAGTGGTAGAGGGCTCGCCTTGAGCAGAAGAGCACAGGGACAGCGCCTAGGACCAGAATTCAAGCCCCATGACCCCCCCCCCCCAAAAAAAAAAAAGTGGAAGCGGTGCTGTGGCTTAAGTGGTAGAGTGCTAGCTTTGCACACAAAGAGGATCAAGGACAGCACCCAGGCACTTAGTTCAAGCCCCACAACTGACAAAAAAATATTTTATTTGTTCCTTCTTTATCCTAAACAGTCATTTTATACTTTCTCTTTCCTCCAGCCTTTAATACTATCAGCTCATTTGTTTACCCACAGCATGTGATATCTTTTACTGTTTCACTGAGAAAATGGAAATCATGATACAAATCTTCCATAAACTCCCACCCTCTCTTTTCACCTGTGTATAATTTGTTTGTCCTTGAATGTGCCCCCTACCTTCATGTTCCTTAAGCCAAATCTAATTGTATTAGATCCTATCTAGTCTTGCCAATATAAGGGTAAAATTAATTCAACAATTCTCCCCCTCCTTCTTCTGCATCATTCATTGGTTCTTTCCTATAGTGGATGTATAACCATGATCCATCTTTTATTGTGATTGTGTACTGCTCTTGGGGCTTGAATTGCTGGGCCTAGGTACTGTTCTTTATTGCTCTACCACTTGAGCCACAGCTCATCTTTTGGGTTTTTTTTTGTGGTTAATTGGAGATGAGAGTCTCACAGACATTTTTGTCTATACTGACAAAACTTGATCCTCAGATCTCAGCTTTCTGAGTAGCTAGGATTACAGATGTTAGCCACCAGAGCCTGGCTGCTGCTGCTTCCTTCTTCTTTCTTTCTTCTTTCTTTCTTCTCCTTCTCCTTCTCCTTCTGTTGTGAGGCTTGAACTCTAGGCCTGGGCACTGTCCTTGAGCTCTTCAGTTCAAGATGAACACTCTACCACTTGAGCCACAGCACCACTTCCAGTTTTCTGGTGGTTAAGAGTCTCAAAGACTTTTCTGCCCAGGCTAGCTTTGAACAGTGATCCTCAGATCTCAGCCTTCAGAGTAGCTAGGATTACAGGCGTGAGACACTTGCACCCAGCTCTTTTTTTTTTTCTTAATAATGGAGGTTAATTAGACATATTTTGAAAGGAAAGTTAATGCTGTTTATAACAGACTTAATGTGAGCTATGCGAATGAGAGATGTAAGTCCAAATGATCCCAAGAATTTTATCCTAAAAAACTGGAATTATAAAATTGTCATTAAGGAAAATGAGGGAAGATAAGGAAGGAACAGCTTTAAAGGAAAATCAGTTTCCATTTGGAAATATTACTGTAAAATATATGTTTGATATATAAACGAATATGTTTAGTAAACAAATATTAAAATCTGGAGTGTAAAAGAGAGGGCAGACAGATAAAATCTTAGAGATCACCAATTGGCAAATGTTCATAAAGTCATGATCCCAGGTGCAATCAATCATGTGTGCAATTAGAACAGAAGGGAACTAGGGTGAACTCTGAACACCCCATTGTTGGAAGATAAGAGAATAACAAAAGAGATTTACAAAACAGCGATTAGTGAGGTATGAAGGAAAACAAGAGTGTGCTGTTGTAAAGCCAAGTGAAGAATGAGCAGCTGTGTCAAATACTGCCAAATAGTCAAGTAAGAAATCTTATCACTGGGCTTGCCAACTTAGATGTTTTGGTGACCTTCTTGAAAGCAATTTTAGCATATCAGATTGAAGAAAGAACAAGGAACAGAAAACAGAAAATAGTAAAGACAAGTATAGACAACTCGCTCTAGAGGACTTTGGTATGAGAAGAAATGTAGAACAGTAAATAGATTGGAACTAAAATCAAGAGGAATTTGATTTTTGTTTTTGTTTTTTTCCAGTCCTGTGGCTTGAACTCAGGGCCTGGGCTCTGTCCCTGAGCTCTTTGGCTCAATGCTAGCATTCTACCACTTTGGAGCCACTGCTCCACTTCCAGTTTTCCAGTGGTTCATTGGAGATTAAAGTCTCACAGACTTTCTTGCATGGCCTGGCTTTAAATTGCAGTCCTCAGATCTGAGCCTCCTGAGTAGCTAGGATTAGAGGCATGAGCCACCAGCGCCCGGAAACAGTAGGATTTTTCTTCTTATGCTCTATGCTAGTATTGTAGCTTGAAATAAGGGCTTCAGTCTCTTGCTTTGATTTTTTTTTGGGGGGGTCCGTTTGTGGGGCCTGAACTCTGGGCCTGGGCGCTGTCCCTCAGCTCTTCAGCTCAAGGCTAGTGCTCTACCACTTGAGCCATAGCGCCACTTCCGGCTTTTTTCTTATGTGGTGCTGAGGAATCGAACTCAGGGCCTCAGGCATGCAAGGCAAGCGCTCTACCACTGAGCCACCTTGCCAGCCCTTGCTTTGATTTTTTTCACTTAAGCTGGTACTCTACCACTTGAGCCACAGCTCTTCCTTCTTTTTGGTGGTTAATTCGAGATATAAAATTCTCAGACTTTTCTGTCCATGCTGGTTTCAAACCTTGACTTTTAGATCTCACCCTTTTGAGTTGCTAGGATTATAGGCATGAGCCACTAGCATCTGGCTTTTTCTTTTTTCTTTTTTTGGTACTGGGGCTTAAAGTCAGGGCCTTGTGTTCTTGCTTGTCTTTTTTGCTCAAAACTGGCACACATTTCCTGGGCAATTCTGATTTTTTTCTTTATGATAGACCGTGCTCAGTTGAACATGGCAATATATACTTGGGAGTCTGAGGCATCAGGACCTAGAGTTTGAGGCCTACCTGGAATATATGGCCAGACCTCGTCTTGAAGAAAAAAGAAAAACTACCCCCCAAAAGATATTTATAACTACTTTTATTTTCAATACTGCTGTTCTAATCAAGCCATCATTATGTCTTGTCTGGATTATTATTATAGTTTATTGTTGGCCTTCTTACACTCTACCCTACCTTATCTATTCTCACACCCTCATCTGTTCTCAGATGGTTATGATGATGTAACATCAGAGTGAATCTTTAAAATAAAACTAAACATAAAACCCTGGGGCAAACACTTGAAGATCCAGGAATATGCTGTGTCATTCTTATGAATACTCCCAACAGCTCAGGAAATAATAACTGACAAATAGGATTGCATCAAATTAAAAAGATTCAGTACAGCAAGGGAACTATGATCAGCTCCAAGAGACAGCTTGCAGAATGGGAGAAAAATCTTTATCAGCTACCCAGAGGATTTGTACAGGGGATTAATATCCAGATTATATTCAGGAACATCTGTGATTAATATCCAGGATTAATATCCAGGAACATCCATGAGACTCTTATCTCCAGTTAACCACCAGAAAACCAGAAGTGGCGCTGTAGCTCAAATGGTAGAGTGAGTGCCTTGAGCTGAAGATTCAGGGACAGTGCCCAGGCCCAGAGTTCAAGCCCCATGACTGACTAAAAAAAAAAGCTCAGGGACAGTGGCCCGAGTTCAAGCCCCAGGATAATCACCAAAAAAAAAAAAAGAAGAGTTTACTCTAAAACTGCAATTTAAAATTACCATTTGGGAGATAACTGTTCATATATATATATATATATATATATATATATATTATTGTATGCTAAATAACTGTGTTGTGTTCTATTTTAGTGTTTTAGGAAAATGGAGACTAAAATGTGTTCTTCAGCATATGTGTTTTATCTTCCTTTTTTGGCATAATATGTATATGTGCATATTTTTTAAAGATTAGAAATGGGACCGTTTGGGAAAAGGAACAGGACCAAGAGGAGTGGGAGAGAGGAATAGAAGGTATATAGAGGTAATGATCAAAGTACATTATATGTGTATATAAAAATTTCATAGTTGAAGCCGGGCGCCAGTGGCTCACGCCTGTAATCCTAGCTACTCAATAGCCTGAAATCTGAGGATCACAGTTCAAAGCCAGCCCAGGCAGGAAAGTTCATGAGACTCTTTATATCCAATAAACCACCAAAAAACTGGAAGTGGTATTCAAGTGGTAGAGCACTTGCCTTGAGCTGAAGAGCTGAGGGACAGTGCCCAAGCCCACAGTTCAAGCTCCATGACCGACCAAAAAAAAAAAAAAAAGAGTGCTTGCCTTGAATTCATGAAGCCCTGGGTTCGATTCCTCAGTACCACGTGAACAGAAAAAACCAGAAGTGGTGCTGTGGCTCAAGTGGTAAAGTGCCATCCTTGAGCAAAAGAAGCTCAGGGACACTGCCCAGGCCCTGAGTTCAAGTCCCAGGACTGGCAAAAAAAAATCCTCTAGTGAATCGATGCACTGTGCTCATGAACTGATACATTGAACTGAAACCCCTTTGTACAACTACTTAAGGATAATAGAAAATTAAACTAAATAAAAATAAAACAATATCCTTTAGTGATCAGTTTGAGAAATGGGGGAAGGAGGATAGGGATAAGAGAGAGCGATGGAGAGGGTAAGCCTGGTTAAGGTATACTGTATGGATGCAACTAATTGATACTAAAAAATGTTGGGGGGGGTTAGGAATATGGCTTAGCTGTCGAGTGCTTTCCTAGCATGCACAGAACCTTGGGCTTGATTCCTCAGTACTGCCAAACAGAAAAAGCCAGAAATGGCACTGTGGCTCAAGTGGTAGAGCACTAGCCTTGAGCAAAAAGAAGCTCAGGGACAATGCTCAGGCCCTGAGTTCAAGCCCAGGACTACAAAAAAATGTTGGGGGGCGGGGAGGAAACCAAAATAAACCCAAAATCCTTTAGTGACTATCACTTACCCAATCCTTACTATGGTTTATACTATATAGTTTATACGCTATCCTTACTATCGTGACCTTCTATACTCTGATGTACTCATGACCTCCTATATGTTTGGTCATGTATTTCTTTTATTCCACTAATAGTGAAAAGATTTTTGTACTTAACCATTCCTTCCACTTGGATATTTTTTTCTTCTTTCATAACCATTTCCCCATTCCTAGAGATCTTGTCAAATGTAGGCCTTTCCTGATGATCCTATTTAAAACAATATATGCACATGTGCATGTGTTGTACTTGCCTAGATATGTATATTTATATTCCCTAATCCCTTCTATACTACATTTTCTCCATAACATTTATCTGCATCTAGCCCACTTTACATTTACTTATTCATTTTGTTTGTTTGCTTCCTCTCATTTCATCCCAACATGCCTACACTAGAATTTAATCTTCTGTGAAGGCATTGCTGTGTCTCTGGTGGCTGGAACAGTGCCTGGCACATAGTGTAAAGTAAAAGAATGAATGGGATAGCATGTGAGAAAATCAATTTTTACCACAAGATTTTTATAAAAGGTACACCCTAAGCCAGGTGCTGGTGGCCCACGTCTATAATCCTAGCTACTCAGGAGTTTATCAGTTCAAAGCCAGTCTGGCCAGTAAAGTCTGTGAGACTCTGACCTCAAATGAAATGAAGCTATGCCTCAAGTGGTAGAACAGAAGAGCTCAGAGACAGTGTCCAGGACTTGAGTTCAAGCCCCAGGACCAGCACCAAAAAAAGTATACCCTTTACCTTGGTAATTTGGAAGTTTATAATTAATTGCAGAGTGAACAACAAATACCCATATTTCTTTGTAGCACCATTTTTTTCTTTTGAAAGTGCTTAAGCTCTAGGCACCGGTTGCTCAAGCCTGTAATCCTAGCTAATCAGGAGGCTGAGATCTGAGGATCAGAATTCAAAGCTATCCCATGCAGAAAACTCTATTAGTAATTCCAGTTAAACCAGTTAACTGGATTAACTACCAAAAAAGCTGGAAGAGGAGCTGTGGGATCAAGTGATAGAGTGCTAGTCTTGAGCAAAAAAGCTCAGGGACAGCACCCAGGCCCTGAATTCAAGCTCTAGTATTCACACACACACACACACACACACACATTCAAACATCACAAAACTGGTGAGGTACTACAATAATATAATCATATATAATACCATCATATAGGTCTAACAACAGTTGTGAAGATTTTGCCAGATTTGCTGGGATTTGTTGTCATTGCTGAAGTAATTCAATGCCAATGCCAAACATCAAGTTATTTCACTCCTATACTCTGTTGTGTACATCTCTTTAACACCCATTATCTTCTTATATATACATTCTAACAAAATGAATGTGAATTTCTTGTTATCATGAGCCTTAAATCTACTGTTTGCAGATTTTCCTGATGTTTTTCAAAAAGACTTCTTTGTTCTTCAAATTTGAACCCACATATCACATTACTTTTTTATTTTTTGGTCATTGGGATTGAACTCAGGGCCCGAGCACTGTCTCTCAGCCCTCAAGGCTAATGCTCTACCACTCAGAGCCACAGTTCCATTTCCAGTTTTCTGGTGGGTAACTGGAGATAAGAGTTTCACAGATTTTTCCTGCCTAGGCTGGCTTTGAACTGTGATCCTCAGATCTCAGCCTCACCAGGATTACAGGTGTGAGCTACTAGAGCCTAGCTTACACAACATTACTTTTAACAGCAAAAAACATCGGAAGCAGCTGAAATCTCTCATGGCCATCAATTAACTAATAATGGCAATGTCATTAAACAGTAGTTACCTCTGTAGGAGGATTATGGATATAATTTCAATGTCTTTTTACTTTTAAATTCTTCCCAAGTGTTTTGTACTAACAATTAAGGGGGAAAAACTATTTATAAAAATAGTTTATCTTTCCATGGATTTACTGAATTTGAATTTTGTATTGCAGCCCAATTCACTCTTTTTTAGTGATCATCCATCTTCAATGTTAGTGTCCTTTACTTGCCTTTTCTAGGTCCGAGCTCATCAGCTGGTTCTCCCACCCTGTGATGTGGTAATCAAGGCTGTTTCTGAGTATGTTAGTTCCATCAAAGACCCCTCAAACTTGGATGTTGTTGGGAAGGATGTTTTCAAGCAATCTCAGGTAAGGTAGCCTTCTCCTTCCCAAGATTTCTTACATTCTCCAGCAGCAGTGGCAGATGACCTGTTCTTTGCTGTGTCCCCCAGCTTCTTTTCCTATCTGCTTGCCTCTCTATGTTTACAGAATGAAGCCCTAAAATTTTCTTACAAGGTTATGACTAGGCCTGAGTTGAAAGGGTTATTTCTTTACCTACTGATGATAAAAGTAATACAAGTTCATTTGGAAAATAAACACGCTACTTTAAAAACCTCCTTACTTTGCCTGGCACTGGTGGCTCATACATACAATCCTAACTACTCAGGAGGCTGAGATCAGAGGATTGTGGTTCAAAGCCAGCCCAAGCAGGTAAGTCCTGTGAGACTCTTATCTTCAAGTAACCACTCAAAAACTGGAAGTGGTGCTGTGGCTCACAGTGGTAGAGAGCTAGCCTTGAGCAAAAGAGCTCAGGGACAGCACCCAGGCCCTGAATTCAAGTCCTACAACAACAACAAAATCTTCTTACCTAGAAATAACTTGTTAAAGTTAATACTCTGATGTGTCCTCATTTGTGTGTGTGTGTGTGTGTGTGTGTGTGTGTATGTGTGCACGCATGTGCGTGCACATACAGAGTCTGACACATGCTAGGCTATATTCCCAGCCAATTTTAACATAAAAGTGGTATTACTTATCAGGCAATAAAATAAGTAATATAAAATAGTTTTTTTTTGTTGTTGTTGTTGTTGGTCGTGGGGCTTGAACTCTGGGCTTGGGCGCTGTCCCTGTGCTCTTCAGCTCAAGGTGAGCGCTCTACCGCTTGAGCCACAGCGCCACTTAGTAATATAAAATATTACTTAAAGCCAGTCCATGTTAAATAAGAATAAAAGATTCACTTTTAAGCATGGAAGAAAGGGAATCAACTGAGATTTTATGTTACAAAATGAAACTAAAAGTCATGATAGCAAGTTAGTTTTTGTGTATGTGTGCCAGTCCTGGGGCTTGAACTCAGGGCCTGAGCTTTGTGCTCAAGGCCAGTGCTCTGCCACATAAGCCCCAACTTTTTGGTGGCTAATTGGAGTTGAGTCTCATGGACTTTAATGCCTGGGCTGGCTTCAAACCTCAGTCCTCAGACCTTAGCCTCCTAAGTTGTTAGGATTACAGGCATGTGTCACCAGCACCTGGCCTAGTTTTATTTTTAAATTAGCATACAAACTGACTTGTATATGTGACCACAGTTGGATTACTTTTTAATATAGTTAAAGATTTATGTAATTACCATCACAATGAGGATACTGAACAATTGTGCAGTCCCCCCAAACTCTCACATTTTCCCTTTGTGATAACATCAAAACCAATCCTTGTGCTGCCCACTGGTCACATTTGCTGTCATTGTATTTATGTCTTCTACAGAATAGCACATATGTGGAATTGTACTGCTTGTAATCTTTTAAGAATGACTACTTTCATTTAACATAATGCTTTTGAGATTCCTTGAAGTTGTTGGATATTAATGATTCATTCCTTCTTGTTGCTGAGTAATGTTCATTGTACATGGATATACTATAGTTTGTTTATTCCTCCCTGAAATGATATTTAGATAAATTATGATTGTTGTGGTTACAAACAGAGCTGCTATAAACATTATGTGAAGGCTTTTCTATGAACACAGTTTTTCATTTCCCTAGTGTAAATATGTAGGTTTGGGATTTCTGAGTCATACAGTAAAGCATATGTTGTTCATTTGGTTTTTCTATGTTTTTGTCAGTCATGGGGCCTGAAATCTGGGCCTGGGCGCCGCCCCTCAGCTTGAAGAGGCAAGTGCTCTACCACTTGAGCCACAGCGCCAATTCTGGCTTTTTCTGCTTATGTATGTGGTGCTGAGGAATTGAACCCAGGGCCACATGCATGCAAGGCAAGTACTCTACCACTGAACCACCTTCCCAGTCCTTATTTGTTTTTCTAATGCCAGTATTGAGGCTTAAACTCCAGGCCTCATGTTGGTATTCTACTACTTGAGCCACACTTCTGCTTCTGACTTTTTGTTGGTGAAATGGAGATAAGAATCTCTCAGGAAGGGGCTGGGAAGGTGGCTTAGTGGTAGAGCGCTTGCCTTGCATGCTTGAGGCCCTAGGTTCGATTCCTCAGCACCACATAAGCAAAAAAAAAGAAAAAAAAGAGAATCTCTTAGGTTTATTTCCCCAGGCCAGCTATGAACTGCGATCCTTTCTTGAATAGCTAGGATTACAGGTGTGAGTCACTAACCTATCATACTTTTAATTTGCATTTTATAAATAACTAATGATGAAGATTTTATTTTTGTGCTTCCTTGTCATCTATATACATTCATTGGTAAATGGTTTTTTTAAGAACAGTGTTTTGCACATTTAAAAACTATTCATTTGCTTATTGTTGAGCTTTAAGATGTCTTTGTATATTCTGTATATGAGTCCTTTATCAGGCATCTGGTTTCTCACAGTACTTGGTTCCTCTTTTAATTCGTTTAACAGAACAGTTTGCATAGGAATATTTCAATTTTTTAGCAGTTATTATCTTTTCTGAAACCTTTGGTTTCATGTCTAGGGATTCTTTGCATAATCACAGGCATGATAATTTTCTATGTTTTTTAATATTGGGAAGAACTCAGGGCCTTGCCTGTGCTAGGAAGTTACTCTACCACTGAGCTATGTTCCCAGTCTCTTTTTCTTTTTTTGGAAATAAGGTCTGCTTGTGTAGTGCTAGGATTATAGGCATGCATTACTATGCCTGGCTCTTCCTGTGCTTCTTTTTAGGTGATACATTTTACATTTATATCTTCAGTTTATTTCTGTATAGTGTGAAGAGGCTTTTGTTTTTGGATTTGCATGTCGATATCCACTTGTCTAAATACAATTTATTGAAATAGACAGGATTACCTTTTCTCCCTTGCCTTTGCACTTTTGTCAGAAATCAGTTGGTTATATTTATATGAGCATATTTCTGGGCTGTCTTCAGTTGATGGATATGTCAATTTTTTTCACTTTCTCAATTACACTAGCTTTATAGTAAATTTTAAAATTGAGTAGTGATTCCTCCAATTTTATTCTTTTTCAGTATTATTTTGTCTTTTTAGGTTCTTTTGCCTTCTCATATAAATTTTAGAATAATATTGTCTCTATCTACAAAAAAGAAATCCTGCTGGGATTTTGATTGGAATTTTGTTATATATCTAGATGAATTCGGTGAGTATTTGAATCCATGAATATGATACACCTCTCTTATTCAGGCATGCTTTGATTTTTTTTTCATTAGCTATAGTTTTTAGCATATAAGCCCTGTACATTCTTTTTATTTATTTTTACTTTTATTGCCTTTTTTTTCTTGTGGTACTGGGTATGAAACTTAAGGCCTGGTGCATGTTAGGTAAGTGCTCTACCACTGAGTTAATTCCTTAGTACACGATATTTAGAATGTAGTATTTCATATTTGAGTCGTGTATAATAAAGAATGTTTTTTATTTTAATTTCTAATTATACACTGTTAATATATAGAATTATGATTTTGGTGTGTTGTCCTTGTAACTTGTGACCTTTGTAAATAATTTATTAGTTCTAGACTTGGGATTTTTTTTGTGTAGATGATCATATTGTCTGTGAATAAGGACAGTTCTAATTTCTTTTTTTGTAATATACATAGCTTGTTTAGTATTTCAAAATGATGCAGAACAGGAATGTAGAGAGTAGATATCCTTGTCTTATGCATGATCTTAAGAGGAAAGCATACAGTAATCATTAGCTATAGATTTTGTAGATGTATCTTAACAGGTTGAGGATGGTTCTCTTCTGTTTTAGTTTGCTAAGATGACTCACATTATCATTACTATAATGAATGTACAGTATGTTTTTCCAAATGCATTTTATCATGTATTGATAAGGTAGCAATATTTTCTTCCTTTGTGGTAGTTCTAGGTGTCGCACTCAGGGTATTTTGTTTGCTTGGTAGCTGCTATGACTTAAGTCTCTAGCTCTTTTTGTTTTAGTTATATTTTAGATAGGGCCTCAGGCTTTTTGCTTGGGCTCTCTTTGGACTATACTCCTCCTATCTATCTACCCCTGCTGAGTAGTTGGCATTGAAACTGTGTCTAACTTGTTTCTTGAGATTCATATCTCACTAACTTTTTGACCAGGGTAGCCTTAGGATTGCTCAGGCAATCCTCCCAATCCCCACCTCCCAACTAGCTGGGATTACAAGTGTGAGTCACTGTGCCTGACCCTTTCTTCTCCTTTGATCCATTAATATTTCCTTCCTTTTTTCTTCCCTCCCTCCATTCCTTCCTTCCTTCTTTCCTTTTTTTCTTTTTTTGTTGGTTGTGGAGCTTGAATTCTGGGCCTGTCCTTGAGCTCTTCAGTTCAAGGCAAGCACTCTACCACTTGAGCTACAGCACCACTTCTGGTTTTTTGGTGGTTAATTGGAGATAAGAGTCTCCCAGACTTTCATTCCCGAGGCTGGCTTTGAATAATGATCCTCAGATCACAGCGTCCTGAGGAGCTAGGATTATAGGCATGAGCCACAGGCGTTCAGCTCCATTAATATTTTTTTTTTTTTTTTTTTTTTGTCGGTCGTGGGGCTTGAACTCTGGGCCTGAGCGCTGTCCCTCAGCTCTTCAGCTCAAGGCGAGCGCTCTACCACTTGAGCTACAGCGCCACTTCCGGTTTTTCTGGTGGTTTTATTGGAGATAGGAGTCTCACGGTCTTTCCTGCCCGGGCTGGCTTTGAACCGCGATCCTCAGATCTCAGCCTCCTGAGTAGCTAGGATTACAGGCGTGAGCCACCAGCGCCCGGCTCCATTAATATTTTTTAATGAGGGGCTGGGAATGTGGCGCAGTTGTAGAGTGCTTCCTAGCATGCACGAAGCCCTGGGTTCGATTACTCAGCACAACATAAACAGAAAAAGCTGAAAGTAGCGTTGTGGCTCAAGGGGTAGAGTGCTAGCTTTGAGCAAAAGAAGCTCAGGGACAGTGCCCAGGCCTTGAGTTCAAGCCCAGAAGGACT